CTATTCTGGACAAGTCTCTCACTGCTCTCTGCTAGTGCACCACTGCATATGGCAGTCATGCTGAGCCAAGAACAGCAGACACTGACTCTAACTGTCTCTGTCCTAAACAAAGCAACGTGATCTGAAGTGTCAAACATTTCTCTAAACTACATGAGGAAATACCATTACGGTTTTAGAAAAGAAGTACACGGCCACTGAAATCACTAGGCATAGTGATATCCACAGACACAAGACTTCATCAGGAGTTACTTCAGTTATTCAAGCATTAACTTACATGCTGGTGTGATGTCTGAAACAGTTTTCTTCACCTGATGTCTCATTTACATAGCCCAATCACAGCATCCACCAACTTCAGCTGTATCCAGGAAGATCAGACACTTGCGCAAATCTGGTTATCAGGTTCCTTTTCCGCTCAGAAAACAACTAATGCATAGCTAGTGTTTGCAAAAAATTCAGTTCAACCCACGAATACACTTCTTACAAGAACTATTTCAGAAGCAAGAAATAATTCCATTTCCTTAGTCTCTTCAACTGAGACCACTGTTTCCTGACCTGTATCTCAAAACCTGCTCTTTCTGTCATACAAATTATAATGCAGAGGTATTGGTAAAGGAGTGCCATTAGTAACATTTTTACCGTGTTCTTCCTTTATCTCAGTTCTTGCCTTCTCGTCCCCCATCCCCTTTCCATCTGTTCACCTTTCCCATTCTCTCACTACCCAAAATCGTTACAGATTAAGGCTGTAACAATTTGTGTTCTTTGGTGCCCTCTACGGGACAGATTTCTGCAATCGAAAGTTGCCAGGAAGAAACCTGACTTCTACCTCCCCGAAGAGCAAGAACAAGGCAATCTAAATTAAGTACATTTGGAAGTGGAACTTCTGAATTGCTAATGACTTTAATCCATTCATAGTGTCCATGTTACGGGTCTCTGCAGCTACTGCTTCAGCAGCACCTGCTTTTCTGTAAGAGCTTTCAACTCTTCCTCAATAAAGCAACAACAAGTTTCCAAAAAAGATTTCAATTTTTTTTTTCCAAACCTACAAAAGCCAAGGTCAACAAGTGTTTAGTCTCATCTTCTACTCAAGGTCACAACACATACGTGACAACTGGTTAATGAGATACATATTTGATAGGAAAGACTTAATTTGAACTTACATTGCAAGGAATGCAATAAAAACCTCACTTTGGAAGGCCAGGAAAAGGACATCAGAGAGGATTTTCAGGTATTGAGACAGATTCTGACAGTAGAACTGTAGTTTAAAAGGTTTGATTTTTTTTCCTCCCAAGACACAAATTACAGAGTATTCAGTTTCCAAATACACAAATATACCCTATCTCGACAGGATCTTCATCCAGAGAACTTGGAACACTTTTTAGACACAATATAAATACTCATCTCTAAGAGAATGAACAAAACCCATACTATCTTCTATGTACTAACTGCCCAAGGGGACACTCTTTTTCCTAATTAAAGGTGAGCTATGTCAAGACACCTGTAGTCTAGCTTTTGAGTAGAATAAGAATCTCACCATCATGGCTAGGCTTCGCAAATGAAGAATTGGGAAGGGCTCTACCCACGCTTGCCACAAGCGCGCTGGTGGCTAAAAAGGCCAATACGAGACAGACAAGTCCGGTTGCAAAAGGCACAGCAGAAAGACTCCTCAGGTGGAATATTCAGCAAGACACGATTCCTTCTGCGTTGTCTTTTCTCCTCAAGGGTGATCCTGCATGCATACTCAAAAGAAGCAGCAGCATTATAGATGATGTGCCTCCAGACCTCCCGACTGGAGGCCAGAGTAGACCAGTTATGATGATCAATACGGTCAAGGCTGAGATGTTGTTTCAGGGAGTCCTTGTATCTTCTCTTCGGGGCTCCTCTCTTGCAGCAGCCAGTGGCAAGTTCACCATAAAGCAGGATCTTAGGGAGGCGGTGGTCCTTCATCCTGGAGACGTGCCCTGCCCAACGCAGCTGAGTTCTCAGCAACATGGCCTCAATACTTATAACTGCTGCCTGTTCTAGAACAGACATATTGGTCACATAATCTGACCAGTGGATGTTTAGGATTGTACAGAGGCAGCGTTGATGGAAGCATTCTAAGAGACGCAGGCGGTGGCAGTAAATGACCCATGATTCGGACCCATATAAGAGAGTAGACAGCACAATGGCTCTGTAAACACTGATCTTTGTACTTTTCTTCAAGTGTTTATTTCGTCAAACTCTTTTATAAAGCTTTCCGAAGTCACTATATGCCTTTGCTAACCTGTTGTCTATCTCTCTGTCAATCTTACCATCCAAGATGAGGCTACCTAGGTAATTAAACTGCTGGACTGATTTGAGCTCTGATTCGCCAATGGTGATATGGGGATGATGGAAGACTTCCTGAGGTGCAGGTTGATAGAGAACTTCTGTCTTCTTTAAGCTGACTTCCAGCCCAAATTGCTCAGCAGCGTCTGCAAAGCAGGATGTTAAACGCTGCAGAGCTGCTTCTGTGTGGGTGACGAGGGTGTCGTCATCAGCATAAAGCAGCTCCTGGACAAGATGATTTAAGGTCGTAGTATGGGCCTTCCCATCCAGAACAAGTGGTGGATCAATCTAGCTGAAAAAACTCAATTATGTGCAGATACAGGTGATCACAGAGGATTCTATGAGGCCTTGAAAACAGCATACAGGCCTACATACCAGGTCCAAAGCCCTCTACTCAGCACTGATGGTCAAACATTTCTGACAAATAAAACCTCCATTCTGAATCGATGGTCTGAACACTTTCAGACTCTTTTCAGTACTAGCTGTGTAATTCAAGACTCAGCTATTCAGTCCATCACACAATAACCGGTGAAGAACGAATTCGATACTGCCCCTGCTTTAGGAGAAACTCTTAAGGCCATACAGCAGGTGAAAATTGGCAGGGTGGCTGGGGTTGGTGGAATTCCACCTGAAGTCTGGAAGCATGGGGGCCAAGCACTCCATGCTAAATTTCATGAGTTTCTGATGCGCTGTTGGGAACTGGGCGAACTACCATCAGACCTGCGTAATGCAGTCATCATCACTTCGTATAAGAAGAAAGGAGTTAAATCAGACTGTTCAAATTACCGTGGTATTACTCTGCTCTCCATTGCTGGCAGAATAAGAATCTACACGGATGATTAATGCTCAGTAACCTGCCATATCTTACTCCTCACACACTTCTCTAAATAGAGGAGCATACAAAGAATCACAGAATCACAGAACTGTTTGGGTTGGATAAGATCACCAAGATATCAAGTCCAACCTGTGACCGATCACACCTTGTCAACTAGACCACAGCACTAAGTGCCATGTCTGATCGCTTCTTGAACACTCCAGGGATGGTAACTCCAACACCTCTGTGGGCAGTCCATTTCAATGCTTAACAATCCTTTCCATCAAAAAATTCTTCCTGTTGTCCAACCTGAACCTCCCTTGGTGAACCTGGAGGCTATGTCCACTCATCCCATCATTAATTGCCTGTGAGAAGAAGCCAACCCCCACCTCACTACAACCTCATTTCAGGTAGTTGTACAGAACGATAAGATTCACCCTCAGCCTCCTTTTCTCCAGACTAAACACCTCCATCTCCCTCAGTTGCTCCTCATCTGACTTGTCCTCCAGACCCTTCACCAGCTCCGTCGCCCTTCCCTGGACAAGCTCCAGCACTTCAGTGTCTTTCCTGAAGTGAGAGGCCCAGTACTCAAGTACAAGGCCTCACCAGCACTTGTACAGACACAGGCCCAGATTCATCCTCATTAGCTTTATGTCAAGTGACTAACCATAATCTCATAAGCAGGAAACACAGCAAAGCATATTGGTAGAGTCCAGGCATCTTAAAAAGCCCATGGAGGAGCAAGCATCACAAGCTCAATGTGCCTGTGTTTGAGCATCCAACCTTCCTTCCTTCCTTCCATGGACCACCTGCTCAGACACACAAACTTCTTCCTGCAACTGCTGGGTGTGCAAAGGGGAATGACCAACACACACAAGGGACCCTGTCAACAGAATAATCTCCACCTATGAGAAAGAGCTTAGAAGGACTGGAAAACAAGAGACAAAACACATGAATGAAAGCAGGAGCAGCTGTCATGAAAGTGATAGGCATGGTTTTGTTTCCTTTTGTCAGTGATGGATGGTTGAGGGGAAGAAAAGGGATAGCTGGGTTTTATTGAAAGGTTTGGGATTGCTGGGGAAGTGTATAGGTATTTGTAGTTGTGGTATAGGTATTTGTAGTTGTGGTGACTCATTTGCAATTTTTAGTTGATTTAACCAACTTCAGGGATAAAACTTGAAGTAAACTATGTGACCAATTGCAAAGCATTCACAGAAAAGCAACAACAGTTACTAGATTCTATCATGTCTCCCCTCTATTAGATATTACATAGAGAGGAGACAGGATAATAATATTCAGAAATATAAAGAGTATCCACAAATTGAAAAGAATAAATTACTTAGAGCTAGAACATGAAATAAAGGACTTGCAACATTGATAAGAAATTTTAAGCTTCTACAAAGAAGCAGCTGTCTAACAGATAAGAAAGCATTGGAACTGACTACTGAGGAGGCAGCGGAAATTTCAATGTCAGGCATTTTTAGGAACAAAAAATCAGGATTGGTTTAGATACAGTGGATTCTACGAAGGGAAGTGACTAAACAGGAACAAAACAAATATTCCAGTGACAGGAAAAGGGTAAAATATGCCCAGGAAGTTGGGGGTAGAAAAAGGCTCTCAGCAGAAGGCCTAGGGGAAAAAAAAATTGAGGGACAACTGGCTCCTCTCATCCAGTTTCATCCTTATTTTCTATCATGTCTACAATTAAGTTTTAAATTCAACAAACAAGTCAGAAGGCAATAAACACTTCCACAAGGTCTGAATTCTGTTCATTTTGGACATTGCTCCTATTTACCAAAAGCTTTATAGGGACAGGAAATAAAAGCGAGAAAATATTAATCTAAACCCATAACTGCTTCCATATGGCAACATTACTCACTTGTTTCACATTTTCTGCCAAGAACACAACATAAACACCACAAAATCCCAGCTGTGTTATCACTAAGAAAAAGTCCACAATACACCTGAGGAAGAAAAAACAAACATACATTATACTTAGGATCCAAATAATTAACCCATTGTTACCTAACATGCAATTACTGCTCCTTTTTACAGTAATCAAAATGCAACCATCAAATGCCACTTTAATTTCACAAGTACTGCAATACATGCTCCTCTTATGGCAAGACAGGGTGGGTTTTGTGTGTGTGGTTTTTAAGGTAACACTAAGTACGTATCACAGTTTCTCAAAAAAAAAAAAAAGGTACTCAACATATTTTAAAGTGGCATAAAATGAAATTCAAGGACTTAATGTGGTACAAATGTTAACAACAGACATACATATTTGATGCACCCTTTAGCCCCCAACACAGCAGTTTTCCACCAGGTCCAGAGATGAAACGTCTCATATGCAGTCTAAGACATAAAAGTTGCATCAACTCAAGATAACACTTTCACATCTTACCAGGCAGTTCTATGTCAGTGTACCCAAATACACATTCAGACACTGTATATTACTGAAAAAACACTAAACTATGGTTCAGATTGTTTTTGAAACAAAGTAATACACAATGGTGGCCTGAAGACATGCTGTAATGAAGCTCTGCTAGAGTTAAGCATACAGCAGAGATCTGCTCCAGAGAATGGATTTGCTGCAATACAGTGTCTCTGGAGATCTGATTGCCATTTGTGGCTTGTAACTCTTAGGTGCAATAGAGAATTGTCATTATATATCAGTACAAATCAATTTTGCCTCTAATTGAGCTCTTCTCCATTCCTACAAAGTCATCACAAAAGATCTTAAAAGAACTAGCTCACCTTTTGCTTACTTGAAACAAAGTAATAGCCAAAACCCCTGATGCAAGATGCTGCATCCTTGAAAATAACAGGAACAAAAAAAATTCTTCCACAAGTGAGGTAAAAACCACTTTAAATTAATGTTGAGCAATATGTTTGTTCCACTATTCACAATTTCACTACTGCGCAGTCATACTACAAACTCCACAGTTCTACAGCAACAAATGGCAAAGACAAATATAATAGTCTTTTTTAAAAGAAGGATAAAGTATTTAACAGAGACAACAAGCTATTAACATCTTCATGTCATTATTGCAAAAACAGTACCTATTTTATCCATTATTTGTATGTTATATTTAAACAGGAAGCAAAGCAATTCTTTGCTTCCTTTCTGAATAAATCCACTAAAGTAATTAACATCTCCAGTGTCAACCTGCTTAAAGAGTGAACTCTGATGCAGGGAATGCCAGTAAAAGAGAATGAAAACTTCACTACATTAGACAATACAGAATGCATTTCTGGTTATAACACATCTCTTCCTATATTACTAAACAGAATTCTTTTTCTTCACAGCTCTTGTAGACCTGAAAATTGNGAGACAGACATCCTCCCATGTCACCACTACTAGCTGGTAGCAGGAAATAACAAATGACACTGTAAAAAATCATTCTTAAGGAAGGCAACATCTTAGTAAAAAGAAATTCTCCTATCATTCCAAGTCAAACAAAGTCAAATTTTTAATAATGAATTTATTCAATTAAATTCTAATTCAAACTTACCTGCCCCAAGAAGCTCGTTTCTGAAGAGCAGCAAAGGGTCCCAATTCCATGGCATAACTAACTGTATCACTATACCCCAGTGAGGACTTTTTCATCCTGAAATCAAAAAATTAAGAAAGAATGGAGTTATTAAAAACTATGCCCTACCTTGAAAATGCTGTTGGTTTCCCAGGATTATAACCTGTGGCAACATTCCACTGGTGCTGAATTTCAGAGGTATGGCTCGGGCTTCCTTACTCCAGGAAGGGCTATTATTTAGCACTCAACAAGCACGTTAAACACAATGTTGCTTCCCCCACTTCAACAGTACTAAATACGTTCCTTACAGAACGAAGTTTTTTTATAAATTAATCCAAAATCAGATACTTATAATGTGAGCTTAAGAAACTGATCTCAAATCTAAAAGTCACAAAGAATTTGAACAGGTTTCAAAAACTCTTCCTGCACAAGCAGTCACAACTGATTCAATGATCTTATTTCAGTGATCATCTTCAAAGATCATTCAAAACCACAGTGAAGAAGTGAAGAATTCAGGAATGACAGGGTCCATTCACAGTACAATGTCATATTAATCTGGTAAGAGATTTTCCAGCTACGGGGGCACGAATAGTTTTGCAATTCTATTCAGTTTAAAGCTTTTACTGCACTTTTTAAACATGAGACCCTCTCACTGCTTTTCTTTTAACACCTGACAGTAAGATAAAAATGTTTAACAAAAGTCACTATTAAACAAAACACTCTGTCAGTCTGAATAGCTCTACCAATCCGAATAACTGCTTCCCCCCAATATTGTACAACTCACTTGGAGGAGTATTTAGTGTTTATCTGCTCACTAGCTCATTTTAATTCATTCCTTCAGCACTACAAGTTCAAAGAATCAAGTTGTCACAATTCAAAGAGACAGAACTCACATATAATCATGGAAGACATTGACAGGATTTCTTAGTTTATCTTTTATTCCTATAGAGTACTTATAAAGTGGCTATTTATAAATTATACACTTTCCAAAGCTATGAAGATTCAGAAGCTATGAAGAAATCTATGAATATAAAGAAGGACTAATGGACTGAAAATAAGCAATTAAAACTGCAATGAGAAAGATCCTATTATTTCCTAGCAGGGTACTGGGCAACACGTTAAACTAATTTCATTTTGAATATGAACAGAGAACAATTATTTTTTTTTCAGTGAGTTGCACAAAGCACACCTATCATTTATAGGTACACGCTACAAATTTGAGTGTTGCTTCCAACAACTGGAAGATTCTAAACTGACAGAAGGAACTGCTATAGCATCAGGACATTCTGTAGGCCAAAAATCACAAACAGAACAGACAAATTAAGGAAAAAAATACTGAAACTCAGCAACTGAACAAGTAGTTCCACATTTACCTCTGACACAGAGAGTGGCTGCAACGTACCAAGATGTGCATACAGTGAACCGATATAACTCCTATGAACACAAGGCTGATTGGTCCAACCTGGTATGGAAAAAAAAAAGGAGGGAGGACACAGGAAATATACAGAATTTCTCATGAAAATATTCCGGGGAAAAATCTCTAAATGAAAAAAATTCACATTGTAGCAAAAAAAAAAAAAAATTTTGTGCAACTGCATTTTTTCCCCTCTCTCAGAGGGGGGTAACTGTTGACGTTTCACAGCATTCCTTACTTTACATTCACTACTTGAGAGATGGCTATAAGTACCAAATGGGCACAAACAACTGCACTCCTCTAACTGCTTCATTTGCCCAAAAAAGTTTGTCAAGAGAGAAGACTGCATATAGTGTCCAATTCAGAACAGTGGTTTGAAGTGGTTTAAAGTGGTAATGGTAGCAAAAGTTACAAACTATACATAACTCTCAAATTAAATAATTTGTTTCAGAGTGGAAGTTTAACCAGAAATTTTCACAGAAGGAATCTGCTTTTCACATGTAACTGTAACTCTTAAACTGAACATCCTGTACTATAGAATTACAGGATTATTTAGCTGTAAGGTGAAAATTTCACTTGAGTAAATTTACCCTGCCCTAGGAAATGCATTGTTTATTACCTGGTATAAACAACCTGTGCTATAGCCTGTTTCTGCAGAAACACTACATTGATTTAACAAGCTGATGATGCATTCTAGGACATACAATCTGCCTCTAGAGAAGTGTGTACAAAGACAACCACATAGTAACAATTCCCATGAGACACCATAGGACCACAGGAGTCTGAGTAAATCAAAATTTTTTTTTTTTGCAAAGTTTGTGTTTTGACCAGAAAAACACTTTGGCTACACAAAAACGCAACTCATGCAATGAAGTCCTCAGGGTGAAGTAGTAACTTTTTTTAAAAAAATAAAAATCTTAATCTTCAGTACTAATTTTACCAGACTAAAGAGGAAAATCAACACAACTCTATTAAGATTGCAGTAACAAATAAGAAGTATAGGGATTTTAGTTTTTCAGGACATATATCTGTAAATCAGTCTAGATATTTCTCCTAGTGTATGAAAAAAGAATTGAATTCTTACCACAATACCAGCATTTTTTATTGCAAGTGGAAGACCAAGAAGCCCAGTTCCAATGTTTCCCTTGAGGAGGTGAGTAAGTGTTTGTATAAACCTGAGGATAAAACATCACATTAGAAGTACACTGAGATGGGGCAGAGGGCAAAAGTAAAACCACATCCTCTGTCATTTAATAATAAAGTGATAAGTTTTGAGCTTCAACTCATGGTGGTAGTCTAGTTATTTTAAAGTATGTGCAGCACATTCAAATAATGTTCTTATTCATCATTATATGTGAGCACTCTCAAATAGAACATACAAGTCTGATCTTCAGTTCTTTACTCCAGCTTGTGAAATGTTATTTTCTGTGCAATTCTATTATTCATTTGCCTCAGAGTCAAAATTACCAAGTTTTATCACTGTTTTATCGCTATTTTAGAATCAATAACATTCAAAAACAAAATTACCAGCTGCAAATCACAAGTCTGACAGCCAAAGCTTTATACAAATTAAAAAAGAAAACCAAAACCCAAAGCTTTGCCATCTCTTCTAATTAAACTTTCACAAACAGATTATCTCCGGAATCTTCTCAAAATCTTCTTTAAACAGCGCTTGGATTTTGAGTAATCCAGTCACTTTGCAAATAGGCACCTTGGAATATTTTACGGCCACATTCTTAGCTTCCAAAGAACAAAAAACCTATTCAAAATGGGCTGCTTTTTGGCAGAATTATGTAAAGTCCTGATGTACAACCACAAAACCACAAAACTGTCCTGCAGGTGCAAGAAAACCCCTACACAGTTCAGTAAACTGCTCATAAGAAATGAGGGAGAGGCAACAAATTTAAACAAGCTGATATTTAAGAGTAACACGTACGTAATGCCACCTTCATTACCAAGCTGGTAATGTGTTTTAACTGGCAGGAAATTATTTTCATGCTCTTCTTCTGAGATGCCATCTGAGTCTTCTTCATCAATTAAAGGCTTCATTACTTCCATGCCTGTACAACAGAGTTAACACTACATTAGCATTAGAAACAAACTTAAAGTTCAGACGTAAAACCCAACTCAAACTTCCCATGCCAGGAGGTTTACATGTGTTCCTAACCATAATGCTGATTTAAGCAGATACATACAGGACAAGTTTGCACAGGATATTCTCTCTCTTTAAAGTGGTACACCATCTCATTATTATCATTATCATTATTATTATGGGCAAACACCACAGGTTTTCATTAAGAAAACCAACCTTTTATTATGAAAATGTCAATGGTTTAGATCCTTTTGCAAGCTAATACAACAAAAAGCAAACCAGAAAAGTCACCCATTGTTACAAAAGATAGAGATTTATCTTACCCACTGTTAGCTACTGCAAAACTAAGCATTTAGTCTATGCTTATCAGTGGTAAGTAACAGCACACCCCAGAGTCATCCCATCCTAAAATGAATAGGTAAGACAGGTACCGCAGAAGATATCTCCATTCAATGGAGAAAGAACCAAAATAAAGGATTCAGGCTCCAAGCTTTGAAAGATGCAATTTCATGAACCTTTTAAACTCACATATATTTCGAGCTAAGTAACACCACCTAGCAAGAGCAAGCAGTCAGCAGTGAACAAAATCGCCTTTCAGGCAAAACTAACAGCTTATGCCAGTTTAATGTTGAGGAAATTATAACCATTTTTGAATTACTACAGTTAAGTAAAGCAAATCCTGCCAAGAGCAAAAAGATCATTTACCCTACACTTGCCTACCACAATATCCATTCATAAAGTACGTTGTCTCAACTTTCATAACTTCCACCAAAAAAAGAGAGAAATCCCTGTGACTAAAATATTACTGAATATTTCTACTAAAAGCATTATCAGGCATCGGAACGGGCTGTCCAAGAAAGTGGTGGAGTCACCGTCCCTGAAGGTATTTAAAAGATGTGGATGTGGCACTTAGGGATATGGTTTGGTAGTAACATGGTAGTGCTAGGGTAACAGATGGACTCAATGATCTCAGAGGTCTTTTCCAACCTTAATGAATTCTAAGTATGCAAGAGCACAGTGAATTTCCACATCGCTTACAGAACTCTGAAAACACTGAAAAATACCATGAAATTCATTAGCTACATTAAAACATTAGCTACATTAAAAGACTATTCAGCGAGCAAAAATATTTCATAAATTGAATGAACACTGAATACCTTAACTATTTTAAGCTCACTTATGATGTAAGAAAAACACGGATTCTAACAGAATACCTGTGAAATCTGCAACACCTGTGAGCCTGCAGATACATTTAAAAGAAGGTACAAGCAACTGACATCTTTGAAGTACATAAAAGCATACGAACATGCCAAATACAAGTTTTATTTTGGGGAGTCATTATGGTCAATCTGATAAAAATTAACACTTAATTAATTAAAACAAGATATGTGCAGACAGGAAATATAGAATGCATTGAAAAGTAGCCATTGTATTGGGTTTGTGTAGCAAGGTTTTGGTAGCAAGGGGCTGCAGTGGTGCCTTCTATGAGAAGCTGCTGGATGTCAATAGAGCTAATGCCAGCCGGCTCCAAGATGGACCCACCATGGCCAAGGCCGAGCCTAACAGTGACAGTGGCAGCACCTCTGGAATAACACTTAAGAAGAGGAAAACACTGCTGAGCAACAACAGCTGGAGAGAGGAGTGAAAATATGTGAGAGAAGCAGCCCTGCAGACCCCAAGGTCAGTGAAGAAGGAGGGGGAGGAGGTGTTCCAGACACTGGAGCAGAGATTCCCCTGCAGCCCATGGTGCAGACCATAGTGAGGCAGCTGTGCTCCTGCAGCCCAGGGAGGTCAATGGGGATGCAGAGATCCACCTACAGCCCCTGCAGGACCCAACAGTGGAGGAGGCTGTGACCTCAGGGGAAGCCTGTGCTGGAGCAGGCTCCTGGCAGGACCTGTGGCCTTTTGGAAAGAGGAGCCCACGCTGGAGTAGGTTTGCTGGTAGAACTTGTGGATCCCACGGGGGATCCACACTGGAGAGGTTTGCGGAAGACTGTCTCCCATGGGAAGGGACCCCCACTGGAGCAGGAGAAGACTGTGAGGAGTCCTCCCCCTGAGAAGAAAGGAGCAGGAGAGATAACGTGATGAACTGATCACAGCCCCCATTCCCTATCTCCCTGCACTGCTGGACAGAAGGAAGTAGAGAAATTGTGAGTAAAGTTGAACCTGGAAAAAAGGGAGGGATGGGGAAAACTTTTTTTTTTAGATTTATTCTTATTTTTCATTACCCTATCTGATTTGACTGATAAGAAATTCAATTAATTTCCCCAAGTCAAGTCTGTTTTGCCCATGATCGTAATTGGTGAGTGATCTCTCCTGTCCTTATCTCAGTCCATGAGCCTTTTGTTATATTTTCTCTTCCTAGTCCTGCTGAGGAGAAGAGTGATAGAGTGGCTTCTCTGGGCACCCAGCATCCAGCCAGGGCCAACCCACCACAGCCATTCAACAAATCATTAAGGTTTTTATGAAACCTTAAAGATGTCTAACCCACCAGCAGGGCACTGAAGCCAATGCTAAGTAAGAAGAACCTCTAAAGAAAAACTGTAAAACAAGTGTAAAAATCCTACAAAGCAGAAGGCAGCTTATTCAAGTCGTTAAAATTAAAAGCAGAGCTCAAACTCTCCTGAAAAAACTAAAGGGTCATCCAAATTTCATGTCAGTAAAGTTGAAAGCCAGTAATGAAAGCACTTGACAGAAGCAAAGATGACTAGTCAAGAGCAAAAATCAGAGGTCAGAGACTCAACCAGTAAGTACACTGTAGAGTAAATTTATACTCAGTGATATTCTAATTATAGAAGTCAAGACAGACTTAAACATGTTTCACTACATGGCATATAGTCTATAAATTGATCAAAAGAAGGATCAGCAAAGTTCCTTCCCTCTGCTCCCACAGCATTGTGCTGACTAGTTCTTGAGGATGCCACGACCATCCTCTCTCAGCTCCGAGTCCCTACTGGGTTCATTTGATGCTCACAAAGACCTGCACATTCTACTTCTGGAGTAAAAGTTTGTCCCCTCAGGGGTCAGAGGGAGCTGGAAGTTTCACCCAGTGGGCAATTGATTAGGCTCATTTTCATTCTTTAAAATATTGATTCTAAACTTAGAATCTGAAGTGTTTTCATTAGGAACAAGCCAAACTACAAGCGTGCAAAGTCTCTGATCACATGAGATTCAACTACATATAAAAGGAATAATAATAAAAATATTTTACAGTTTTGTCTCCATCACATTTTGTAGGATGCTCTTTGTAATGCTAAACAACAATGACAATATGCAGCAACTAAGGTTCCTATTTAGCAGGGTGAGGGAACCAGCACAACCCTTAGGACCGATAGCTCTGGTGACTATCAGCAACTGCTCAGTCAAGAGAGAAAAGTAAAATTTTCTTCTTCCCTTACAGCCTGAGACTGGAACATTTGATATATATATACATCTACATTGTTTACCATGCAACCGGATGACACTCAGAAGACTGAAATTTTTCAGACACCCCATTTTAGTTTTCTCCCAACTTCCTGACCCATCTTCTGATCACAAAGGTAGTCCTTTAAGAATGGATTTAGACATACTCAAGCATTCCCCTCATCTTTTAAATAGTAAGAATTTTTCTAAGACAAGCTATTTTTCTTCTGAAAAGTCATCTGCCCATGCTTAAAGCTGTCTATCAGAGCTGGAATAGTGATGACAATAAGCCTTAGATGACTAATCACCTAACTTACTGTCAACTATTCACCCATGTTCTCAGAAATTGCTTAAACTAGACCTCAGAATATCTGTTTCCAACTTGTACACTAAGGTTGGCAATTTGCCGATCCTGTTCTAATGTAATAACACATTTGAGAATAAATTCTATTAGAAGTTTTCAAACACAGGCAACAGCAATCTGCATCAACTCACATTGTGATAACTATACTTACTACAGGTTCCCCTGAAATACTGCATTATATAAAACATTCCAATAATGCTATCTAGTCTCTATTCTAGCCATAGAAATGCTTTTGAATTGCCTCTTCTCCTTGTCATTCCTCCTTCATCCTATGACTGGTGTATAGTTTTGGCCTAAAATATGTGAATCTGTTAAGAGTAAAGGTCCTGGGACATAATACAAGGTTTGGGTCATGCAACTTTCTAAGCATGGGTTTTTATTTGATGAGATCTCTGCTGCTGGAAGGAATACTTGTGGCTGTGTCCCACTGCACAGTCCATACTCACAGTGACATACAGGTTTGTGTAACATCCAGATTTAATGGATCCAAACTTGTAGTCCAGAGCACACCAAGCAAGAAAGCCTAAGCTCAAAAGGTCAAAGAATGGGTGCTTTGCATACTTGAACCTAGCCTGAAATGAATTATTCTGGAAGGTCCACAGTCACTGCCAGAAAATTGGTACAGAATACCCATATTTACTTTGATTCCTTCCTACAAAGGTCCAGTATGAGCAGTTTAAATCAGATCTCAAACTCCAGCTACAAGAACAGCATATACATGTCATACTTGCATCAAAGATGAAGTTGTCTGGCTGCTCTCACAAAGCACCTGGTGCAGAGCATACCTCAGCCAACCTTAGGTCCATGCTCCTCCAAGCTGTTCTGGCGGCATCCAAACACACTATGAATGATCCAATCCAGTGCTCAGCCACTGAAAAGTCTGCATTATCATTACTCAGCACAACTAAGAATGAGGAAATTCACTTCTACACACCCTTTTGTTTTTACTTAGCCTAAGAACCAGCCAATTTTCAGCATTGTCTTTCAATCAGCTAATATGAATTTCTTTTCTCCTCATACCACCACAAAAATCTTTTCAGATCAAATGCTGTCTTCTGATTGTCTTCAACAGTTATTTAAACATCTGTCATTGTTTCTGCTTTCTTCTTTGAATACCCATGCAAGCAGGGTGCCAAAAAGCTCTGTAAGTACTGCTACTATCAAGCAAGGCAACAGAGTGCATTTCAACTTCACCCAGAGTTAACCACTGCAATGTTTAAATTGATTCCTTAAACCACTAGAGACATAAATTCACTTACTCATTACAGCTACATCTCACACTATAATCATGCAAACATATCAACACTGTATCCTCAAAGACCTCTGACAAATTTCAGAGGTCAGCCACCAGTTACACAGTGAAATTAAACCTATAGTGTTTAAATTGCTATGACCAGGATTTCCAGATTTGAATCTTCAAGTGTACTTTTCTATCCCCTAGAATTTGCCAGCATCTTGACAACGTTTATGGACATATTACCAAAGAAACTTTCGAACTGTTATTAAATGGACTTAATTCTAAAGCTTTTACAGCACAATAAAGCAACCCTTTGGTTCCAAAATTCTGTAAAGAAACAACTTTTTCACCAAGAACTTTAGTTAATTTTTCTATACAGCTCAAGCAATTAACATTTCTAAATTTAACTGAATCATGCAGCAACACAAGTGATAAAACTGATCATCATTTTCATTTTACAGAAGAAACAGTGACAGAAGGATGAAAGTTTGCCAGGGTTGCACAAGAAGTTAAAGGTTGAGGAGATATTAAAAACAAAGCCAAGTACAATCTTCTATTGTTCCTTTGGAGAAGGTCATGCCCTAGCCAGAGTCATATCTAAAACCCCCTTTACAAATCCAATTTAACAGTATGATCTGTTTTTTGTTAGCTTAGTTGTTTTTCCTTCGGGTTTTTGAAGTCAGTGTCAGCAAACAATAAACTCGATTTGATATATAAGCATAAAAAGATTTGGGGGATACAATATAGCCCACCATTGTTTACATTAGCTAATTTTACTCATTTACGGGAGAAGGAACACACAGACCTTGTTGGAGCAACACTTATTAAGTGCTCAGCAAAAAGCAGCAGGCAAAGGACATCTCATAGATACTTCACTGCATGGTCAGCTTCTACACAAGAACATGCCTACAGGGCCAGAAACACTGTACAAGACTCACAGTCCTGTGAAATCTGTTTATTAAATAGAGGGTGACCCAGGGCCTCCATAACTGGGATAAAGATTCGAGTTAACAAGCAGCTGGTTTGACTGTTGAATAAAAGAGAAAATCAGAACCACGTCATCTTTACACTAGCCTAAAATGTGGTTTTATGTTAATATTTTCCCACAGGCTATGGAAAGCCATATTCATGATCCAGAGGGCATACCCAGAGCTTGTGTCACCAACCAAGGCCAGCTGCTCTTATGGGACAAGGTTAGCACTTGAGCCTGTGAATAGCAACACAGCCAAGGAGACTTCACTACGGTGTAACACAGAAAACACATTTATGTCCGGCAGCAACCACGTCTGTGACAACCAGAGAGGCTCAGTGTTCCCAGCAACTACTGCAGTACACAAATGACCTATTTATTGTCTCAACGCTGTGGAGCAGTTTTTTAATTCAGCATTCAGAAACAGGGCTCTCAAGACAAATTTAGTCACAAAGAAAACATTGCCCCTAATTATTTTCAGAATAACACTCAGTTACTCCCTCAACCACAGAAACCTCCCTCAACCTGTTTCTCCACTACCCAAGCTTTAGCCTACAAATAAACTTCCCAGCATTTCTCCAGAAGGCATCTAACTGTATAGTCCAGCATTATCCCTGAAGCACACATGATCTCCCACGTTACTCAGTCACATGCTTCTGCAACCTCCAAAGAAATTATGGAGCAACATGAAGTGACTATGGATGGTAGTGCTAGGGGTACACTGGTCCAGAGCAATAAACATCTGTAAATTTTCCTACTTAAAGGAGGAAATAACAGATAACCCCAATACACCATACACAAGCCAGCTCCCTTTTTATCTTCCACTACAGCAACTCTTATTGAATATGAGACATAAAACCAAACAAAACCCTCAAACTAAAACACATTTTCCAGTTTGAAAATCAAAAAGGAAAACTCATCTGGTTTAAAAGTTCCTGTTAAATACTAATAATTATATTTTCCAGAATAGTAAAAGATAGCATTAGTTTTTGTTGTGTTTGCTTGCCAAGAACTTTATGCTTCATGCTGTTATTTAAATCCCTCTTTATTTTTCTTTGGAAAATATATCTTGTGTCATTGATCTGTTTCCATCACATACTGTAATTTAATAAAGTAGATTTATTCAGCTTCGTGGTAGAATTTATTAATCATGAGAATTGTTAATTCTAAGTAAATGTTGAAAGTCAATAATGCACCTCAAAAAGCATGAAGAACTGTTTGCTTTTGCATCACAACTGTCAAATCCAGAAGGCTCATAAAATCGGACAGAGTTATTAAACCAAGTGTACACAAGCACAGGTCTCCATAGTTATTACACACTTTAACCCCAACCCACAATGGATCATTTATTTGGAAAAATGCTAGTCTTAAATAATCCACTATCCTGTCTAGACCAAGCCACACATTTCTACTATTAACACACTCTCAAGTGAAGACACACTAGCAAGACTTTCGCTTTATTAAGTATTCAATAGGACAAAACCATGTAAAAATCTTCAGAATTCTCAGCAGGTGTTGATCTGCATTTTTAAACAGTTAATCCCATAAACAAATTCCGCTTCTACTGTCAGACCTGTAACCTTAGGGAAAAAAAAAGGCTTAAATATCTTTCAGCCAGCTTTCCTCGGGAGGTGGCAGTCCCTCAATGCAAGATGGAGCAGCCTTGGAGACAATAAAATTTGAAGCATGTCTTCCAATTCCCACCATTACCACTGGACAGGACGAATTCCACAGATTACAGTGGAACTGTAATCTTCAGATTTCCAGCAGAGGGCAATAAGGATGATTAGGGTACTAGAACATCTCTCTAAGGAGGAAAGGCTGAGGGAGCTGAGCCTGTTCAGCCTTGAGAAAAGACAACTGAGAAGGGACCTCCTTAATGTGCATAAATATCTGAAGGTGTGAAGGGGGGTGCCAAGATAAGGCGAGGCTCTTCTTGGTGGTTCCAAGCAATAGGGGAAGAGGCCATGGGCAGAAACTGATGTACAGGAAGTTCCACCTGAAAGTGAGGAAGAACATCTTCACCGTGTGGGTGACCAATCACTGGAGCAGACTGCCCAGAGAGGTTGCGGAGTCTCCTTACTTAAGATATTCCAGAACCACCTGGATGCAATCCTGTGCCATGTGCTCTAGGACGACCCTGTCTGAGCAGGGAGGTTGGACCACGAGACCTACTGTGGTCGTTCCCAACCTCACCTATTCTGCGATTCTGTGGACACAGCTTTGAGATGAGATTTTCAACCAGCCCAGCCCAGCCCCAGTTACACTTTATAGCTACACCTGCTACAAGCTATCTTGTCCATCTGCGGACAGAAAAACTAAGAGATGAACATCGATGTACCCTCCCACACACAGACTGAAAGCAAGCCACAATTCTTCATCACAGATGAAAGACAACGTATTTTCATGTACTTCTATGGAGGCCGTGACTTCCCAAAGAAACGGAGAGCTAGCCAGGTGTGACTGACGCCCTCAGGGAGCGACCCCTGCAGACCCCCAGCTCCGCTCCCCTCAGCCCGCCCGGCCTCAGGTGCCGCCGATCCGGCTCCCGGGTGCTCAGCCCTCACCACCGCTCCCCCGGCCCCGGCGCCGCGGAGACGCGGCAGCACAGAGCGCACCCCTCCTCCAGGTGGGATGGTTCATCCCGCCCGCCTCGGTGTGCTGAGCGCCGCAGCGCATCCCCCGTGGGCCGAACCATCCCGGCTGGAGCGGAGAGGGGTGGGAGCTGGCCGGCCACTCTCGGCGCTCACGCCTCCTCCCCATGCCCCGCGGCCAGCCGCCATCCCGCCGCCCCTCAGCCGCTCCGGTCGCCGCCGGGCCGCACGGCTCAGCCTCGCCTCACCCAGCTCGTCCCTGGCCGTGCCGGCCATCGCCCCGCCGGGCTCCGCTCGCCCTTCCGCGGATGTGGAGCCGACCAGCGCGGCGCATGCGCCCCGTGGAAGCGAACGAAAGAGCGGCGGGCAGGCGGGGCCTGCCGGGGCTGAGGGGGCGGTGCCGGCTCCCGGTGTGGGTTGTGTCCGTTCTCAGTGCCCTGGTCCGGCGGTATCCCGGCTGCTCTGTGTCCACTTTAGCACGTGCCCATAGAAATACAGAGTGTCTCAGTTTGGAAGAGACCCATAAGGATCATCAAGTGCAACTCCCTGCTCCATGCGGGACCACCTAAAACTAACCCATATGACTAAGAGCACTGTCCAGACGCTCCTTGAACTCTGATATTACCAGCATCGTTACTGTTGCTCCTTGGCTCTGCTGCAGCCCCAGGCGTGATGGCCCCATAAAGCGCTGGACACATCTGCCGCCCTCGGCAGGACTGGGGAGAGCGGCTTTGCATGGGGCACTGCAAGCACAGAGCCATAATTAATCAGCAGAGACTAAAATCAGGGGTGGGAACAGAGTGCAGTGGAACTTGACAGCTCAGCTTGCCTGTGATTTGCAGTTTGACCTCCTGAAAGTCAATCCCCTTCAACAGTTCAAATTATTTTCCCTGTGTGAAACAAGAAATGACTCATAGAATCATAGAATGTTAAGGGGTTGAAACAGACCTTAAAGATATCTGGTTCCAACCCCACTGCCATGTGCAGGGACACCTCCCACTAGACTAGTTGCTCAAGGCCTTATCCAACCTGGCCTTGAACAGGGCACACAAAACCTCCCTGAGCAATGTGTTCCAGTGCCTCATCACCTTCACAGCAAATAATTTCTCCTGTATATCTAACCTAAATTTCCCCTCTTTCAATTTGTACCCATTACTCCCTGGCCTGTCACCACAGTTCCTGATGAAGAGTCCCTCTCCAGCCTCCCTGTAGGCCTCTTTCAGACACTGGAATGTTGCTACGAGGTCTCCATGCAACCTACTCTTCTCCAGGATGAACAGCCTCAGCTGTCTCAGCCTGTCTTTGTAGGGGCGGTGCTTCAGACACAAAATGATATTTGTGAGAATCATAGTTAATGATGGATGATATGAAGTGTTATCTCTAACTAATCATTTCATATCAAATTACTCACTCCCTGAAACTGATGTTCCACTTTTTGTGGATTCCACGGGAATGCTGCATCTCCTCTGCACACTCTTGTAGATAAGAATATTTCTTAACAGCTTCACCAATAAGCAAAATAGACATGAAGGAAATGCAGATAGTGAAACAATTCAAAACACTGTGGATTTAGAAATCCTCTGCTCATAATTAAATGTTTCTATCCATAATAAAGGAAAGCAGTATTTCTTGTAATTTCTTAGATTATATTTTTTTTATCTTTGGAAATCAATATATCAAGATGTTAAAATAGATTTCAATCATAGTCTCTAATAAAAGCTACAATCAGAGCTTCAGGTCACTGCAGTGATAATCAGAATTCTTACTCTCTAAACCTTTCCTCTGAAATTAAACATTTTAGACTTGTAAAACAAAAGCTTGTACAATTCCATAAGCTTTTATTTCATGGTTTGAGGACCCAAATGCAGGGGTGTTGGAAGGGGGGATGATGTCCTCTCTTAATGAAAGACACAGTGCTCTGAAGGATTTTTAACTGAAGATATACTGTATAGCCTAAAAGGATCACCTTTTGATAGAACCTTCTCCTAGCAGGCTTAGTCTATTGTGACTTCCAAATATCTGGAGGCTGAACTTCCACTAACCTGACACCCACCCTTTAATCTATCTTTCATGCTAGTTCCTCCCAGAATAATGTATCAGTATTTCTCCATCAAAACTATCGGTATTCTGCCCATATATATGATTGATTTGACTTAAGTAATAAAGTTTCCCACTGTTGGTTTCCTAAAACAGAACTTTTCTTTTTTGCAATAAGAATGTATGATAAAATTTTTTTTCTACACAAGAGAAATGCAAGAATCATCTGAAACTTTTCAGAAACTTCAGTCATCTTTAAACAAACATCATTAATTAGTTTATCTACAGTGAAGAAATTCCAATGTGGAAAACATTAATTTTCAATTGTCAAATTCATGTTTATTCTGGATACAATACTCCTCCAGACTTTCATTAAAAAAATGAGCCATGTGAGTGAGCTATTATGTGGTTTCCTCAAATTTATTTTGGAAAAGGCTTCTCAGTAGGCAATCTGTTAGTGCAGGTTATTGATTTAAGGAACTGATTCACTAATTACAGTGCTTGTGTCAAGCCTTTATGCAGTGTGTATGTATTTTCTTTGTATTCGTGCATATTCTGTATTCTACATTGTTTCTAGCAATGCCAAACTTTGTTTGGGAAAATATATAAGATCACTAGTGTATATTCAAAATTTGTATTCAGTTAACAGTGTTCATTCCTTCCACCTTGTCATTGCATCTCAGGACTTGGCTCCCAGTAAATCCTACACAGACATTAAAGAGACATTAAGGACGTGATACATCTTTATTTCACATCCTACTCAATGGGAAACTACTTGTTTCCACTACTTGCCATTATTAGCAAAATTCCTTTCTCCAGGAGAAGGTTTATTATGTGTTTAAATATATTTTTCTATTATGCTCCAAAAATTATATCTAATATGTGACTAACCAGTGGTGATTAATTAATATTCAAAAAACACAGGAGATTCTATAATGTGATAGAGATTAATGATTTTGTAATATAAGTTTTGTTCTCCTTTGGTAAGAATAGAAGGATTTGCTTTACTGCAAACATCTGGTTAAATTCTAGACACCCATACATTAATGCAAAATTACTTCATGATGTGAATATTGCAGACTGCAGACACCAAATGCCTATTTGCCCTAGGCTTCATATTCTGAATAGCATATACGGCTTGCCTCTTAGAAATCATGGATTCAACTCATGTTGTTTCTGTTGATTCAGAACAAGGCCAGATGGAGCAAAATACATAGCTTCTTCCATTTTTAATCTTTTTTAATTAAAAGCTAACCCTGAAATCTTTAAGGGCCATTTTTGGAATTTTTTTTTTTGTCTACCTAAACCCCCCTATGTTCAGTTGCATATAAGGGCATCAGACCTGCAGCCATACAAAGCCACTGAAAACCCTTCTGCCTACACCTGAGTGTTTTTCACTCTTCCTTTTTATAACAGTTTGTATTTTAACTTTTACTCAGGTACTACTTTGCAATGTGATTACTTTGCATGGTGTTTTAATAAGCCATTGGTAGGCCTCAATTATGTTGCCATCCATCTGCCTGTAGACTATAATTCTGTCTGATTGGCAAATTATTGGCATTCCTCTAAGATTTATACCACTAATTTATTTCTAAGAGCACATTTTGAAATCACCTTGAATATGAATATGGCATCCGCATTTCATTAGATCCTGGATAGCATATTGCTCATCTAGGTATTAAAAAGCAATACCTCCTGCTAATTCATCACTCAACATCATGGGATCAAACTGAAAGAGGGAATATTTAGGTTAGATATACTGTGAGAGTTGTGAGGCACTGTAACACATTGCCCAGTGGAGCTGTGGATGCCCCGTCCCTGGCAGTGTTCAAGGCCAGGTTGGATGAGACTCTCGGCAATGTGGTTCAGAGTGACTTCCCTGCCCATGGCAGTGAGATTGGAACAAAATGATCTTTAAGGTTCCTTCCAACCCAAACCATTCTGTGATTCCATGAATCTGTGATGTAAAACATGTATATATCTTTTTACCTCTTTAGAATTCCTTGGTCACAAGCATGAACTTTCACACTAATTCCTTATGATCAATATGCTGCTCTGTATTAGCCCATTTTCAAGGGTTCTTATTTTCCTTCTTTTCTTGGTACAAATTTCAAGCACTGAACGTTCTAAATTGTGGTAAAAAAGTCAGCATCTAAATGCAGTTTTAAAAAAATGCAGTTGATAAACCAGGAGACTTAAGGTTTTAGAAGGACTTGTTTGATGCGTCCTGAATAGGGGACTGTTTTGTAACATCTTTTTGATTTGAAGCTTCATGCCATGCCTGCCTTTCTTTGCCATGAAAACATTTTTAGAAGGAGGTCCAGAGGTTGACTTTCCATTCCATTTCTTAGAATCATAGAATAGTTAATGTTGGAAGGGACCTTTGCAGATGATCTGGTCCAATCCCCCCTGGTCAAGCATGGTCCAGTATTTTCACAAAGGAGAATCCACAGTGTCTCTGGACAGCCTGTGCCAGTGCTTGGTCACTCTCACAGGAGAAAAGTGTTTCTCAATATTCAGAGGGAAACTCCTGTGTTTCAGTTGGTGTCCATTGCCTCTGGTCCAGGCACTGAACGCCACTCAAAACAGCCTGGCTTCCTCCTCTTTGCACCTTCCCTTCAATTCTTTGTAGACATTGATGGGATACCTCTGAGCCTTCTCTTCCCCTATCAGAATAGTCCCAGCTCTTTCAGCCTTTTGTCACAGGAGAGTTGCTCCAGTCCCTTCATCCTTGCGGTCCTTGGTTGGACTCTCTCAGTCTGTCCCAGTCTCTCTTCTACTGAGGAGCCCAGACCTGAATACAGCACTACAGGAGCAGCTACACTGGTGCTGAGCAGAGGGAAAAGACTGACCACCTCCTTTGATGTGGTGTCAATACTTTACCTGGTACAGCCCAGGATGCCATTGGGTCGCCTTTGCAGCAAGGGTCCATTTCTGGCTCACATTCAGCTTGGTGTCCTTTTCTGCCAAGCTGCTTTCCAACTGGGTGGCCCCCAGCATAAACTGGTGCCCAGAGTTGTTCATGAGGTGTGTGGCTGAAGATGGCAGATGTTGTCAATGTCACTAATTAAGGACAAAGAACATAAAAGACCCATTGTGTTTAACAAATATGCATCAAACTCCAAAACTGCTGTTCATAAGTTTGATTGCTACAACTGTGACAAACACGGAAATGTTAGATGGTCCCCACTGGAATCCATAAAAAACCAGCTGTTTAGTAACAAAATGTTAAGTCTAGTGTGTGTTGACTCTCTCTAAGCTCTGATGAAGAATAAGTATGATTACAGAAG